GATTGTAGCAGTATATTGATAAGGAGCTGCCAGTAACTCAAGCTGAACTGCGAAGAGGATGGAGAACAAGGGATGTTGTTATTGACATCTGATGGCTTAACTGTTAGCTTAATCAGTAAGTCTTAACTGCATCCACATGGCCAAGACCAGGGCCTGAACTTTGAGGTCTCAGAGACCAGAAAGGTGTTTACTTGTGCTTTATTGACTCTGCAAAGGCATTCCAACTGTTCAGATCATAACAAACTGTGGATAGCACTGGGAAGAATGGGTATTCTGGAACACTTAATTGTGCTCATGAGGAACCTGTACATAGACCAAGAGGCAGTTGTTTGAACGGAACAAGGGGATATGAATGATTTGAAATCAGGAAAGGTGTTGTATCCTTTCACCATATCTATTCAGTCTGTATGCTGTGCAAATAATCTGAGAAGCTGGATCATATGAAGAAGGATTGCCATCAAGATTGGATGAAGAGTCATTAGCAACCAGTAATATGCAGATGACATAAATTTGCTTGTTGAAAGCAAGTGAACTTGAAGTACTTAACGATGAAGATGAATGACTATAGCCTTAAGTGTGGATTGTACCTCAAAGTAATGAAAATGAAGGTTCTCACAAGTAGACTAATAAAAAACATAATAAATGGAGAAAAGATTGAAGTTGTCAAAAACTTCTGTTAGTTTTTCCACAATCAATGCTACTGGAAGCAGCAGTCAAGAAATCAAACAATGAATTGCATTAGGCAAATCTGCTGCAAAAGACCTCTGTAAAGTGTTCAAGAGCAAAGATATCAGTTTGAGGATTAAGGTCCCCCCCCCCCAAGAAGCCATGGTGTTTTTAATCACCTCATATGCATGTGAAAGTTGACCAATGGTTAAGGAAGACCTTAGAAGAATTGCTGCATTTGAATAATGGTGTTGGCTAAGAATATTGAAGATATCATAAGCTTCCAGAAGAACCAACAGATCTGTCTTGGAACAGGTACAGCCAGAATGCTCCGTAACAGCAAGGATTACGAGACTTTATCTCATATACTTTGGACATATCTTCAGGAGGGGCCTTTCCCTGAAGAAGAACATCGTGCTTGGAAAAGTGGAGGGTCAGCGAAAAAGAGGACGCTCCCCAACAAGATGGACCGACACAGTGGCCGCAACATTGGGAACAAAATCAACAATTGTGAGGTTGTTTTGTTCTGTTGTTCATTGGGTCACTGTGAGTCAGAGTGGACTCACCGGAACCTAACAACAACATGCACCAACGACTCAGCACATAGCATGTACTGTAATTCTCTTAGGAATATTTTAAGGTAGTGATTATCACCCCATTTCATAGACCCAGAGAGTAAGGCTTAACTGCATCCACATGGCCAAGACCAGGGCCTGAACTTGTGAGGTCTGGCATACACTTGTGTAACTAACATTGGAGTAGACCTGAGATCAGAGCACATAATGCTGGCACCAGTACCCCAGATCATTCCAAGCCTACCACTGTAACTTGACAAAAGCAAGCTTGAAATCTTAAAGAAATTATCTCAAGCTGCTGTCTGTAAAATGATGATCCCAGACTTCACTTTAGGCCAATTCTTATCAACTATTAACTTAAGAAGAGAAGAGATGAAAACAAACGTCTTGATAAGAACCCAGGTATCACCATATCTCCTACAGTGACACAGTGGGCTTGATCACTGGGGTACAAATTAATGAAGTCTCTCATGTCAAAAAGGAAATGGTTTCATGAGAAGTTGTTTTGAACATACATGTCACCAAGATGCTGATGAATGTCAGATTTCTACTTTTGAATTCTGTTGTTCAAATCACCATCAGATTTTTTTTCCACTCAGAATATATATATTTTTATATTTCTATGAATACAGATCAAAATATAGAAGACCTTTCTAGTTTTGAAGAGTCCTGGTGTGGCGCTGTAGGATAAGCACTAGACCTCAAGATCGGTTTGAACCACAAGGTCAAGCTCATCAGCAACTCCTAAGGAACCCTATCCAGGGTGGCTGTGAGTCAGAACTTCAGAGCACTTAACAACAACAGCAGTTTTAAGGAGATAATTCTTTTAAGCTACTGAAGCTCTTGGATCAACTATCAACACTTGCGGAAGCAGCAGTCAAGAGATCAGGCGACGTATTGCATTGGGCAAATCTGCTGCACAGGAACTTTTTAAAGTATTGAAGAGCAGAGATGTCAGCTTTAGGACTAAGGTGCGCCTGACCCAGGCCATGGTGTTTTCAATAGCCTCATATGGATGCGAAAGCTGGACAGTGAATAAGGAAGATCGTAGAAGAATTGATGCCTTTGAGTTGTGGTGTTGGAGGAAAATACTGAGAGTGCCATGGACTGCCAAAAGAACCAATAGAGATCTGTTTTGGAAGAAGTGCAACCAGAGTGCTCCTTGTTGGCCAGGATGGCTAAGCTTTGTCTCTCATACTTTGGACATGTAGTCCGGAGGAAACAGTCGCTGGAGAAGGATGTCATGCTGGGTAAGGTGGAGGGTCAGAGAAAAAGAGGAAGACTCCTAACGAGTTGGATTGGCCAGGTGGCATCATTGATGGCGTCAAGTGTGGCAGCGGTGGTGAGGTTGGCCCAGGATCAGACATTGTTTCTTTCTGCTGTGCATGGGGTCGCTATGAGTCGGTTCCGACTCGATGGCACCTGACAACAACAACTGAAGTACATGGAATGTTTGACGTCTGTCCTTTGACAGAATTCCAGTGTCAACAGTTATTCACTGGGTAGCTTCATCTCATGAGGGACAGAATACCTTGGGTAGCACAAATGGTTAAGCTCTCAAGTGCTAGCCAAAATGTTTGTGGTCCAAACCCACCTAGAGATGTCTTGCAAGAAAGGTCTGGTGATCTGCTTGTGAAAGATCTATGGAGCAGTTCTACTTGGCACACATGGGGTCTCCTTGAGTCAGAATCAACTCAAGGGCAACTCACAGAAACATTTTGATAAGAAGTCCTGCGTTCCATTCCATAGGGCTGGTTAAAGCAACTTCCAGATCATTCCAATGAACATGGAGTACAGTTTTGAGTTTTTCATAATAACGAATAATAAAAGCAACAAGTGAAATCCTGCCAAGTAAATTTCAACTCACGGTGACCCATTGAGTATAGGATTCCTGAGGAGCAGCTGGTGTGTTCCAACCATCAGATCTTGCAATTAGCGGCCCAACACTTCTACAGCACCACCCCAGGAATACTGAAGTAATAAGAGACAACATGAATTGAGCTTTCCATACATTATCTTCTTTAGTCCTTGAGGCAAGACACTTTTTATCAACAGAACCATCTTGAGTTCCAGAGCACTTTGGTAACTTGACTGAAGTCAGACACCTCTGCACTGCCCCTGTTGGGAATGAACCCAGTGGCTAATTGTGGAGCCAGGGTACATGTAGGAAAGGGGTAAGAAAGTGTGCAGTATCCAGAATGATGCTTTTCTAAAACATCATGTCTAAATGGCTTTGAAAAAGCAATTTATCTAAACTGTATACATGAGGAATTACCCTGGGGTAAATAGGAAGTGCTGAACAGTGTAGTTGCTAGTTTTTGCAGACTGTTGTTAATGTGGTCTGTTGCTTTCTGTTGTGTGCAGAATCTCATAGCTGCTTGTGGCTCTATGAGCTCATGGCTCTAGGGTAGAACAGGCAAAATTTTGTAGACTCTTGCTACTGACTATTTAGTGTTAATAGCAGTGGCGGTACAGGTTCTGTTTCCTTCTCTTGGGTCATATTAGAGTTAATAGTGGATGCTGTTGAGCCCTATTCATTATTACCTAGTAATGAGCTACTCTGAGATCTTCCAACAGACCCGAAGTTCACTCGAGTCCTTCCGGTATCACTACAGACACATCATTCTGTTGGCTACAGCACTTTCTGGAATGATGTTTTCAGCACAAAAAGATGACATGCTAATTGCCATCCTCCATTTTGATTGTTTTAGGCATTTGAACACCTCCTTTAGCCTAGCTCCGAATATCTATTACCTGAAGCACAGCTTTCCAGATCAAAGAATAGCCCTGTTGTACATCTTCTGCCGCATTTAGAGTCTCCAAAGTCAGCATCCATGTAGCTCACAGCCTCATCTCCAACCCTGTGTAAGATATTTCTGTGTTCTGCTTTTGATCTGCAGGAAATTAAACTTGTTTGTTTCATCCATTTATCAGATTAGGATACATTTATCTCTCCTGTCAGTCCAAACACAAGTTGGTCAGCTAATCTGTTTATACGACTTTGAAATAGGACAGTGTGTGTTTAGACTCATCCTTCCCTGCAGGGAAAGTTTTTTAGGAGCAATTTGTATTTGTTTTCTAACAACAGTTAGCTCCAGTCAGAATATTTTCTAGGCAGACACATCTCCATACACTTTTGTAAACACCAGATTGAAATCATGAAGTATTCCCAACTGCTAGCATTTTTCTTCTTTGCTGGTTAGATAAATCCGGTTCTCCTTGCATAGGTTGTACATGGAATCTGCTTCCATGTCTTCCCAGTGGTATATTGCTGCTTGGTTTCCTTCTGCATTGTTTATGGGTATCTTGTACCATTTCCCGTGGTAATACGTGGTGTGTATACCTTTGTGTTTATGTATGCATATAGGGGTCCCATTAATGCTTTGTCACTAAAGGAAATGGGGATAGCAATGGCTTCATTAAACCAATAACTGTTCAGTGTTAGCAGTTTCCAAAGGGATATGTTATTAAGATTTGCTCCAGGTCAGATTGTGGCCAGACTGCCCATTATACAAACCTGGGCCCTAAATTCTAGATTTGCTTCAATTTCATGGATTGGGATTATGCCAATTTGGGAACCAACCAGTGGAGCTTAATGTGGGTATTATGCATTTAAAAGGGTGGGCAGGGAAATTCTCAGGGATAGCATTAGTCCAGTGGGCCCCCTATAAAAAAAACAAAACATCACACTCTTAAAGGTTTAGTCAGAATATGGCCTTACAAATGTGTCTTCTTTGTTTGTTTTTGTTCACCGAGCAGTATATTAATTAATCCTGGAAACCACCTAAAGATCCAAGAAGGTACTTTAGGATTTTTCATCGCAAGTGACGCCAAAGAAGTTAAAAGGTAAGACTTAACTTATTTTCACCTGACTTCTCTGGTCTGTTGAGAGACATATTGACCCAGTCAGGGGGTCTTGCTTCTATATGTGTAAGGGGCTGACTCTCAAATTTCTTAACCTGCCTATGCACATCAAATGGTGCCAAGTCTTAGGAAAAAAGGTATTTTGTTTCCATGTTTTGTTTTTCACATAATTCCACATGTTTGGATTGGAATCATATTTTTTTTCAGAAATAGGATAGTCTAGCTATGGACTCCTTTATTTTATGTGTAAAGAAACTGAGGCCCAGAGAGCGTTGGTGGCTACTCCGGGCATCTGCTTATCAGTGAGACAGAACTGCACAGGAGAGTCACCCGGCTGCTTCTTTACTGGTCTTTAGTTACTAGCAGCTGGGCAAATCTCAACAATGATCAGTTTTTGACTTTGAACACCAGACTCTCCCAAACGGATTTGCACATGGCTGCGATTCATTTCCGGTGAATTCTAAATGGCTGTGTTTTCACTTGCGGCTTTCTTGGTTGGCGGGTGAAGTTGTCAAGTTGTGCTTCTATTGATACATCTCAAGATTTCACTGGTCACAGGGCAAGCACACAATTTTATGACATGTATGTTAGTAACCGTAAACCCACTTAGGCAGCCTAGGGGAGACTACAGGGACCTTTGCAGAGCACCACTGAATTTTCTTTGCAATTCTATCCTTTGGACTTGGGAAAACTTAATAGCAGGAACTATTACTCAAATTGTCATATAAACCACCCAGCTAACAGTTGTTGTGGTTAAGTGACACCAAGTTGTTTCTGACTCACAGTGACCCTGTATAGGATTTCCGAGGAGCGGCTGGTGAGCTTGAACCGCTGACCTTGCAGTTTAAACTGACTTTGCAGTCTAGCACGTGAACCCACAGCGCCATATCAGGGCTCTCTAACAATCATGTAACATAAAATATTTTCAATAAATTATCCATTGTAAACCTCTATACAGGTAGCCCCAACTGACAACAGCGTTCTGTTCCAGTGACTCCATTCTAAGTCAGTTCTGACATAAACTGAATACCTAATTTTATTTCATTTTGTAGTTTCATTCCTAGTGTTTTCTTCATTATCAATATCTTTATAAATCTGATCTTTATTTGTCTCTAGGGGTTGACATGAGAATGATAATATCAGGAAAGGATGTGCTACCACATTGTGATACATATGGCTGATGATAAGATGTAAAACCCGAGCCCCAAACAACTTAGTCCTAAGTGCATTTTTTTTGCAACTAGAAGACATTGAAAGTCGAGGGCTACCTGTAGTTAATTACATGTGGTGCTGTGGAGTCCCGGTATAGCACTGTAGGAAAATGCACTGGACTGCAAACTCTGCTTGAGCCACAACATCAGCAGTTCAAGCTCACCAGCCATTCTTTGGAAACTCTACACAAGATCACTGTGAGTTGGAACCGACATGATGGGCCTTACCAACAACAACGTGGCACTGTGTGGTAATGTCCTGGATCGCAAGATTAGTTTGAACTGCAAGGTCGGCAGTTCAAATTTACCAGCCGCTCCTTGGAAACCCTGTTCAGGGTCACTGTTAGTTGGAACTGACTCAATGCCCCTTTATAGCAGCAGTGACAACATTGCCTTACTTAATGAGTTCCTACTCAAAGTCAGGCAGTAGGTTAATCATTCAACATGTTTTATTGCTACTCCTCAAAATAAGCCTCTAAGATTAGTCTTCTAAAACACTCGGAGCTTTAGGGTTCTTAATTGTAAAATTGAGATAAATTATTTACTCAAGGCTACACAACACAGTCCTGGTGTTAATGTGCTGGACTGGAAGGTCGTTTGGACTGCAAGGTCAGCGGTTCAAGCTCATCAGCTGGTTCTCGGAAACCTTATACAGGTTTGCTGTGAGTTGGAACTGACTCGATGGCACTTGACAACAACAACACAACACATAAGTTAGTGACACAGCCTGGATCAGAACTGGTAGTTCCTTTTCTGAAACCCATACTCTTCCTGCCAAATTTAATAATAGTAGCCAGTTCTTTAGCATCGTTAAGTATGTGATGGTGGTCTTATAAATCCGGTTGTTATTGTGTGCCATCAAACTGATGTCCAACTTGTAGAAACACTAAATGACAAGATAGAACGGCCCATGGGGTGTCCTGGATTATAACCTTAATGGGATCAGATGACCATGTCTTTTCTCTCGTGGCGTTTTTGGGTGGGCTCCAATAGTCAACCTTTTGCAGTTAGCAGCCTAGCGTGTAACAATTGTGCCACCGTGATGCCTTGTTCTGAATCCTGCTGCTGTTGCTGTGTGCCGTGGAGTCGGTTCCGACTCATAGCGACCCTGTACAGGGTTTCCGAGGCAGTGAATCTTTACGGGAGCAGAATGCCTCCTACTTCTCCCGCGGAAGAGCTGGTAGTTTCAAACTGCTGACCTTGCGGTTTGCAGCCCGATTCGTAACCACTATGCTACCAGAGCTCCTTCTTTCTGAGTCCTAGGTATTCCATATTTATTAACTCATTGAACGCTCACAATAACCTTGAGTCAGGTAGCATGAGTAGCCCTGGTTTATAGATGAGGAGACCAAGACGCAGATCAGTTAACTCATTTGTTAAACGTCACACGCATAGGCTGTGGTTAAGCCAGGACTGAATCCTGGCCCAGTACCTATGCTCTTAATGACGTGCCTGACAGGCTGATTGAACAAACATGACGTTTGATGACTGATGCTTATTTTCTTCTTCTTCACCCACCCTAGCAAATTAACCATACCATTTACAAAGGTTTCAGGGAAGGAAAACTTATTGGGGTGGAGGAAGAAGAGGAAAACGAAATTCTTAAAAATGAACCTCATTACTTTTATTAATGCAAATCAGGAAAGATTGCCATTGGTCAGTTAAGGAATAGGACAACTTTCCTACTTAGTTTTGCAATTTCCCTATTCTTTTGGAGCATCCTAAGACCTGGGTTAACCTGAGAGAGGAACGGGGTGGAGAGTGGGGCCAACGTCAACCACCACAGGCCCCACACCCACCAGGCCCTCTGACAGGGAAGATTGTACTCACATCCTGATCACAAGGCACAAGAGCTAGAGGCAGCATGTCAGCACTAAGCCGAGGAGGCTGGGGAGCTCAGTGGCCCCATACATCACGTGGACCTCCCAGATAGCAAATATAACACGAAATTCCCATTTGTGTAATTCCATTTTCTATTGCATCTCTCACTAATGAATGTCACAAATACCAGGCAGTCCCCAAAACAAATTACCTCCTGTATTAGGGAGCACAATATGTCTCATTTCAGTGTTTTATGGTATTCACAAATACATGCTGACATAATCAGCTACACCACCAGCCTGTAATTTTCCATGGTGTGGGATGTGTCAGGGCAAATGTTGTCAGTTAGGGGATTTCAGATAGATGAAGATTGCAGAAAGGACAGTGGAGATCTGAATGAAACTAAACGAGTTTTGTAAAAATGGAAAAGTAGATTTAATGATCTCGTATTGAGTTACACCCTCTCTTACCAAAAAAAAAAACAAACTTTTTTTTAAGGCAACAAAAAAGTGCAGTCATAGTTCCAGCATCAAAAAGGTCACTTTGGGCTGGATATTCAGGAAATTTGTCCTGTACCTCCTGCCTTTTAAAAAACTTTGAAATATAATCTTAAATACAGGAGCTACAAACTGGTGATTCACAGATTAAATGTGGCTTATATAGGCATGATTCTTTTGATTCCCATTTAAACTAGTTGTCAAGATGATAAAAAACCATGAGCTTTTATATGAAAATTCTTGTTACAGGTTTCCTCTGAAAAATGGGCAGATCACACAATACTTGACAACGTTCTCATACTCATTCATTCATTCATTAAATGTCTGTAGGCCATCCCCGGTTGTTAGGTGATAATGAGTTGATTTCCACACATTAGAACCCAATGTGACAGAGACAAGTGCCCCAGTGGGTTTTCTTGGCTCTTATTTTTAGGGAAGGAGATCACCAGCTCTTTCTCCTGTGGAACTGCTAGTTGGGTTTGAAGCACCAAGCTTTTGGCTAGCAGCCAAGCCCTTCACCATTTCACCATAAGTGATCCTTTACTGAGCTCTAGTCGGGCATCTGGGGATACAATGTTGAACAAGGACAGAAGTTACTGCTCTTATAGTTCTCACGTTCTAGGGAGAATCGAATTAGGTCATTGATTTGTTATTGTTAAATGCTGTCAAGTCCATTCCAACTCATAGAGTCCCTGTATAGGGTTTCTGAGGAGTGGCTGGTGAGCTTGAAACCACCAACCGTGCGGTTCAAACTACTGCAGTCCAGCACATTAACCCACACCACCACACCAGGGCATCGGTTTAGGTTGGGTATTAATGGAGGCAAGTGGTATTTAAGGAGAGAGTGAGATAAATTAAAAAGAAAAAAAAAAATTAGAAAGTAAAAGGGAACATCTAGTGAAAATTGCTAATGATGAGAAGAGGTTTGGTGGGTTCAAGGCATCAAAGTAGAAAATGTGGCTGGGACAGGGTAGATGTGGTCTGAGATGAGTGTGGAGAGGGAAAGAGGCAAAGCGAGTTCCTGCAGAACTTAATGAAGAGTTTGCAGTTTGGTTATAAAATGCTAGACATTGGACGGTTTTAAGCTGAGGATGGTGTGGTATGACTTATGTTATTAAGGAGTCTCTCCAGCTGTGTTGGCAGAGGAAGGGATGTAATGCATCAGGTGATGAGGCCCAGAGACTTGGAGGATACTCATCGGTTAGGTGACTAGATGATGGTTACTTGGACTAACCTAGTAAGTCTAGTAGTTCCTGACTCAATGACCCTCTGCACAACAGAACGAAACACTGCCTGGCCCTGTACCATCATCACAATTGTTGTTAGGTTTGAGTCTACTGCTGCTGCCATTGTGTCAATTCATTTTGTTGAGGGTCTTCCTCTTTGTCTCCGATCCTACGCTTTACCAAGCATGATGTCCTTCTCCAGGGAGTGGTCCTTCCTGACAGTATGT